TTTGGTCTTCCTACGCAGTAAATGCACTCAAATTAACACAAGTTAATGACTGTCAGTAAAATTTTATGAAACAATGTATGAGGAAAAACATTATGTATGTGATATATGTGAGAAGAGGGGTGTGCTGACTTTACCTCACCTCCCCACCCCACACACACAGGATTTAAAATTCATCTAAAACTGTTTTCTTTGTGCAGTGCATGAATAAGAAAAGATTATTTATGATCGTCATCACTAACTGCCATCAACAGAGGTGCTCTATGAACAAAACCCATCCGGGCCTTTCACTGCCAAGTAAAATACTGCAGTGTCAAATTCCATAAATTGAGCTGCTTTGCTAAGCATTGATGATAAAATCCAGGCTAAATTGTGGCTGGGAGCCTGGTATGACACATACACTCACCCTGTGCCTTGCTACTTAATTTTATCAAAAATTATGGCAGCTGAAATTTTTCCTGAAAATAATTAGTGCTACATTCCAAGACATTCTACGTATATGAAACTGGATTTTCCCCTTTGTGAATTCTATATAAAGAATTGTTAGCATGCTACATCACCTTCAGTTTCCCAAAATCACCACACACCCCAAGAGCAAAGTGCAAAAATACACAAGAACCTTTGTCATTTAATGTTATGACCTGCTTAGATTCAGAGAGCTCTATTACGTATTATGCACTTGGTAGTTCCTTTTATTTAGGATGGACATTTAACATACTACCAATTTTTTTTTTTTTTTTTTTTTTTTTCAACAAGTCGGCCGTCTCCCACCGAGGCAGGGTGACCCAAAAAAAAAAGAAAGAAAATCCCCAAAAAGAAAATACTTTCATCATCATTCAACACTTTCACCCACTCACACATTATCACTGCTTTTGCAGAGGTGCTCAGAATACAACAGTTTAGAAGCATATACGTATAGAGATACACAACATATCCCTCCAAACTGCCAATATACCAAAATATCTAAATAAATTTTAACATACCTTTGTGCTCTCTATTCAGTGGATATGTTTTTCCTCCTCTAACACTAGCCATCTCTGATACACTGTATTTGGTATGTCATAGACTAAATGAGTCTCACTTTAGAAGTGTATTGCATTCTGGTATGATATTAACACAATACTGCAATTGCAAGCATACAGAGACAATGTACTTATGTAAAATATCAAGACCTATTAGAAACAATTTATCAAATTTTAATGTAATTCAACTTCTGAACAGCACACTGCAAAAAGTATGAAAAAAAAATAGTCTTGTAAAGTAACCTTATTGTTGCAACCCCCCCAAACTAAAAGCACTGACAGTGTCACAATTTTTCAAAGATAGATAGATACTACACACACACACACACACACAGGGGACACGAGCTGAGTCTCGACCCCTGCAACCACAATTAGGTGTACACACACACACACACACACACACACACACACACACACACACACACACACACACACACACACACACACACACACACCACACACACACACACAACACACACAAAATCCATATATATATATTAGAGTACATTTAAGTCATGCAATTCTAGACTAGCATTTTGATCCCCCATACATGTTAAAGTTTAAGAAATCAGCAAACCCTCACAGTGATGACTGTTTGTTCCCAATTCTTTCAGAATCTTCTTTTACATTTTCCCATGTATACACAGGACATTAATACAGCATGCCTTCACAAAATTATAACTTACAGATTGAGTGTGACGCACAAGCTCATGTAGCAAGAGATGGTATTTAAGGATCCGTTGAAGAGGCACAACCAGGTATTCCCGCAACTGATGCCTTCCGTCACTTACTTCTTGTTGATAATCCTTAGGGAAAAACAAAGATATATGTATAATGTATATACACTAAATTTATACAGATTTCTTTTAGCACACTGGCTGTTTTCCACAAAGACAGGATGACCCAAAAAAGAAAAATCCTTGACCATCACTGATTCAATATGTGATAAATGGTTTTGAAACCCAACAAGTTGAAGATTGAGACACTTATGCAACATATGGGAATCTTTATTGAAGAAACGTTTTGCCACACAGTGGCTTCATCAGTCCAATACAAAGCAGAAAAGTGTAAGGAGAGGAGTAGTTTGAGGTAATCAGTCCATCAACCTGGAATCGATGTGTTCAGTCTATCAGTCTTATGGAAAGTACAGCATAGGGCTGGAGAAGTGGCTTATATACTGCAGTCAGGCGAGTTGAAGCAGGAGGAGGTGGTATCACAGTGGAACCATCCACTAGTTGAAGTAGGTCTTCGTCCAACCTTTGGGCAAAGACCTACTTACATTCCTCCTCTCCTTACACCTTTCTGCTTTGTATTGGACTGATGAAGCTACTGTGTGGTAAGATAAGATAAGATTTCGTTCGGATTTTTAACCCCGGAGGGTTAGCCACCCAGGATAACCCAAGAAAGTCAGTGCGTCATCGAGGACTGTCTAACTTATTTCCATTGGGGTCCTTAATCTTGTCCCCCAGGATGCGACCCACACCAGTCGACTAACACCCAGGTACCTATTTGCTGCTAGGTGAACAGGACAATAGGTGTAAGGAAACGCGTCGAAATGTTTCCACCCGCCGGGAATCGAACCCGGGCCCTCCGTGTGTGAGGCGGGAGCTTTAGCCACCAGGCCATATGATGCATGTCTCAATCTTCAACTGATTCAATAGCTGTGCAGTCTTGTGTATACATGACTGAGAAAGTATCCAAATTGCATAGTGTGTGTGTTAAGTCCCTACAGTATGCTCTGAGAGAATGAAAAACCAAGTTACTTGCAAAATCTGGGTACTACTGCCAGGAAATTTTTCCCCTTCCAACCCATGTTGGTCTAACCATGCTGCCTACAGTTGCTTGTTGAGAGTCACATGCCTCACTCACTCTCTCACACTCTCACACTCTCACTCTCTCACACTCTCACACTCTCACACTCCACTCTCATCTCACATCTCACCACTCTCACTCACTCTCACTCTCACACTCTACACACTCTCACACTCCACACTCTCACACTCTACACACTCCTCACTACTCACTCTCTACTCTCTCCACACTCTCACCTCACTCTCACCACACTCACTCTCACTACTCACACCTCACTCACTCTACCTTTCCACACATCTCTCACACTCTCATCACACTCACTCTCACACAACACTCTCACACACTCTCACCACACTCTACTCACACACTCACACTCATACACACTCTCACAACTCATCCACACTCTCACTCACACTCTCTCTCACACACTAACTACTTCACACTCACCTCTCTCAACATCACTCTCACACACTCTCACACACACACAACTCATCACTCTCACTCTCTCACATCTCATCACACACTCACTCTCACACTCACTCTCACACACACTCTCACACACACTCTCACACACTCACTCTCACACTCTCACTCACACCTCCTCTCACACACTCATTCACTCCACTCTCTCCACTCACTCTCACACACACTCTCACCACACACTCTCACACACATCACTCACACACACTCTCACACACTCACTCTCACACCACTCTCACACTCACTCTCACACTCACTCTCACACTCACTCTCACACTCACTCTCACACTCACTCTCACACTCCACTCTACACACTCACTCTCACACACTCATCTCTCACACTCACTCTCACCACTCACTCTTCAACACTCCACCTCTCACACTCACTCTCACACTCACTCTCACACTCACTCTCACACTCACACTTCTCACACTCACACTCTCCACACTCTCACACATCACACCTCTCACACTCACACTCTCTCCACTCACACTCTCCTCACTCCACACTCTCTCACCTCACACTCCTCACCTCACACTCTCTCACTCACACTCTCTCACTACACTCTCTCAACTCACATCTCACACTCACACTCTCACACTCACACTCTCACACTCACACTCACACACTCTCACACTCACATCTCTCACACTCACACTCTCTCACACTCACACTCTCCACATCACACTCTCTCACACTCACACTCTCTCAACTCACACTCTCTCACACTCACACTCTCTCACACTCTCTCACACTCACACTCTCTCACTCACACTCTCTCCATATATCAAAGAATTATCCTACAAGGTGGTACATGTATGATGCACACTGGCTGCACTTTCAGCCTTGGAAGCTCCACACTGCAAAAGTTATGCAAGCAATTTTCTGTTATTAGTACACGTGTAGACCTTTTCACTGAAAAGGACCCTGAGAAAGTAATAATGCTTTATTGTCAGCTCTCTAAAGTACTGCAGGGTAAAACAGACCAGAAAGATACTCCAATCCAACCATCAACTACTGGAATCCTTGCATTCATATCAAGAGTTACAATCATTCAATTCAGCCCAACAGGGTTAAGTCAACCCTCTACACTGTATGTTGGTAAATCATAGAATTAGTATATCAGAAATAGTTCCTGGAAGCACAATTGCTCAACAGATACATACCAGAGAGCTAGAGAGATTTTGAAAAAAAAGTTTGATTTAAACCAAAAGATAACAGAATCCACTAGAAATGAAAATACAATGAATTTGATCTTCATGAAGAACTAGGAACTAATTAGACACAATCACCAATACAACACATGCTGACATCATCATAGAAGTGCAAACAGGCATAAATTCAGGGGCAAAATACTCCAGTAACAAAGTACGAGAAGGAATGTTCAGCAAATTTAGCTTCAACAATCAGAGAACTTAACTGCTAAATAAAGAGACAAACAAGGTCTACATTAAATATGTACCAGAGAGAAAACTTGAAATATCAAATAAAGAGCAATGAAGAGTACATAGGAAAAAAAAAATAGTGTGGTATTAAGCAGAGCAAAATCCATAATTTTTTTTTTTAACAGTCGGCCATCTCCCACAAAGGCAGGGTGACCCAAAAAGAAAATCCCAAAAAATCCATAATTAGCAAAGTAAAAATAAAAATCTGTACCCCAAGGCAGTACGTTTCTCGATCCCATAGCAGACTAGATAAAAAATTTCACCACATTTATATCTTCTTTGTGGATGATACCAAATTAATCATGAAAATCACCTCAACAGAAAACAGTCAAATTGACTGGACTTCTCTGACTGGTAATCTGGAGTCCAGTGACTTTATGGAAACAGTTCCCAAAGGGCTGCTTTTCTGAAGCAGTGTGTAACGAGCCTAACAGGGTAATTATTTTCTCGACTTGTCTTGTCAAATAAGGAAACACTAGCAAATAATCTGGAGATCACTGAAGAGCTTGGTGCAAGTGATGACAAATCCATCACTTAAAAATCCCTGATTTTCGTTCTGCCAATTATAATGGACTTAGGGAACGCCTGTCTAATCTCAATTGGGGTTATCTAGCTAATGATTTTATTGACGATGATCATATTTATGATTACGAAGGGATCTGTGTTTATGATTTTTTCTTAATAATGTACACCACGCTCAGAGTATATACATTCCCCAGAGAGAAATTAGGTCTAAAAATAATGATCGCAAATGGGTTAACAGGAGGCTAAAGCATCTATAAGGGGAGAAAAGGGGAATTTATAGGTGCATCAGAAGAGGAGAGGTTAACCTTACTGACCAATATGTTCAGCTTAAAAGAGAAGTAAAAACGGGGATTAGAAAGGCTAAACATGACTATGAAATTAGAGTTGCTAATGAATCAAGGACCAATCCAAAGGGCTTCTTTCAAGTGTATAGGACGAAGGTGAAGGAAAAAGTAGGACCTCTGAAAATTGGGAATGGACAGCTGACGGATAACGAACTGGAAATGTGTTCCTTATTTAACCCTTTGAGGGTCGACAGGTCCTCTCAGAGACTCGTTCTCAGGGTCGGCCAAATTTAAAAAAAAAAAAAAAAAAAAAAAAAAAAAAAAAAAAAAAAAAAAAAAAAAAAAAAAAAATCTTATGAAAAAATAGTATTTTTTTTAAATATTATAGGCTAAACAAAAATTTTTTACCATCAATACTTACTGAGATATGGAGGCGTGAAGTTGATGAAAAAGAGGGACAATGTGGCAACATCGCCGACTGCCATCTCCCGGTATTCTTTTATTTACTTTCTTCTGTACTAATTTCTATTATTTTTTAATTTTTCTTTTTCCAAGTAACTTTTATGGCCTGTGAGACCAATATGATCAGTATTTTGTAAGTTTTTTCTTTTTCAATACTACACAATAAGAGCATAAACACTGTTGTCATTGTTTTGTTTATAAAAAATATTTACACAAACGATATGAAATGTTGTTTATTACTATTTTTCTATATTTTTATACACATATAACATCACAGGGAATGTTTTCTAGAAGTTTCTGCACCTGTGGAAGTTCTTTGAAACATGTGTCATGCACAGTGGTGTTTACACTCTCACACATAAAACGAGGGGCGTTGGGGGGGGCGTTTTTTTGTATGTGCACAACGTAACACACTCTGCCGAGCCTTTTTTCCTGAAAGCCAGTAGCAGCAGTTTTATCAGGAAGTGATCACCATGCTTCAGACGAAAAGGTAGTTGTTGATATTTGGGTGCGGGTCTATTGCAGTGCTCTCCTTGGTAATTGAATATAATTGTCTGACGATGGGTGACAGACAAACAGAATTCGCCGTATTGTGTTTGTTTCCGGTCCTCAATCTTATACAAATTATAAGCATTGGACATGGAAATGTCCCAAGATGGAAAAAAAGAGTTCATGTACCACTTATTACTCTTGCAAAAACAATCAGCAAACCCAATCTGCATGTCACACTGTCACTGAATGCATATTGAAGGTGTAATCAATCACAGCTGCAGGTTTTAGAATGGTTCATTGCATTC